TGATGGACAACCCAAATTCGCACACGGATCGACTTAAATGGGTCTTGAATCAGATGACTCTCTTTGCTCTACGTCGACGCGAATAGACAGTTAGGATCAAGGGAAGAGAGGTATTTAAGCCTCTCTTTGATCGGCTCCCAAACCCTAGCCGACACCTCTGACCGGAAAAGAAGAAGAAGGGCTACTAGAGAAAAGCTCAGCTGCCAGAGGGACATTGTCGCCGCCACACTGGAGCCACCACCGACGCCAGAGAGGTAAAAGTTTTCATCCTTCTGCTTGGAATTGAATTCCAAATCTCCTCACACCCATATTGGAGCTAAAAGACCAATGGATGAGCCGAAAAATGCGAGCGGAGCTCGACTGAGCCACCACGGTCATAACTCAAAAATCCCTCCATTGAGCCCTTTTCTGTTTCCTATTTCTCTTGATTTTTTGACCATCGTGTTTCTTGTTTCTTTCTGGTGCAGGTTGGCCGAAAAAAAAAATCTGATTGTAAAAGAGGAACGACGGAGCCGTCGCACTGGGAAACCCTTTCATTAGTAGGGTCTCAGTTTTTCTCCTTTTTCAGCCAACAAAGGCTCCCTAACCTTGTTTCTCGCAGGTTTCCATATAAAATCAATCAAAACTGGCCAAAATTGGGCGAAAACGGCTTGCCGAGAGGAAGCGCGGTCATGGGCGGTGAAGCCGACGTCGGAGCACAGGGTTGCCACCGTTCTGGAACACTAAACCCGTTGAAAAAGTTTAAAAATGCTTATTTTGGCCTTTTTAGGGCATTTTGAAATATGTAACGCGTGTTTTTTATTTTCGTAGAAAAATTCAAGAAATCAGATAACCACTAAGAGACGCAATAAAAAAGACGATATTTCGAACATTGATACGGGATAAAAATCCTTCACCCTTTTCTCCGTTATGGAAAATTAAAGTCTAATAACTAATAATAATATATTTTACAAAATTAGAAAACTCTAAAATTAATTACAGGTCATCAGTGGAGCCAGTAACTAGTTAGTACGAAATTACCTATTTTTATCTACACTGTTCAATTATTGCTAAATTATTATTATTTGCTTACCACATGCACTTTAATTCATATGTTTATTTGTCTTCTTGTTTATTAATTTACTTAACAATTTATCCCTATCAGTTGATTGGTTTCAAAATAACTGTTTGATTATGCTTTCTTTAGATATTCAATATTGAACTATATAGTCTATTAAATTATCATTTTATTTTTTTAATAATCATAAAATGAGATTATAGTTTATAATTGATGGCTGGTAAATGATGTGAATATGCATGTAAAAAAGGACTCATCGAGTACTTGAAAAAGGGTGTACGGACTCGGTTCGTAGGAAAAATCCTACCGTGAATATTATCTTAGTCGAACAGGTCTTAAGAGTCTCATACCGTAAAAAGTTGGGAGGTATAGATCAGCTTCATACCATATGGGGTATCGAAAATGTGGTATATTTGGCGTCTATTACCGGATGGAGTATAGAGACGACCGGCTAATTAATAAATTGGATATTGGGTTCACGCGTGTGGGGTATCCCTATATACTCTCAAAAGTACTGGTAAGCAGGTAAGAATGTAAGAAAATAAGTTTATTGTTACTCTTCTTTTAAATATGTAATAAAATACTATTTGAGATATTTTATTTATAGGTCGATTTTAGAAACTCATAAGGGGTAAGTATGAAATAACAGTCTTTAAGTTAAACAAATTTATTTAAAAAGAGATAATGGCTGCATTAATTGTTTAACGATTTTTAACAGCTTTTAGTTTTCTGTATCGGTATTGAGTGTGATATTCTTACTGGGTTAATGTAACTCATTCCTTTATTTAACTATTTTAGATAAGGAAGATCAAGATGCAGATCCTGAACAATACGAAAGTTACGAATAAAAGTTGCCTCTTGCATCCCATCAGAGTTGCATAGCAGAAGTTAACTCTATAGGATATTTACTTGTGTTTTATTTATTTCGTTATTTCGTTATTAAAACTTCTAAAAAGAGACATTCTCGTAACCCTATTAGACACCTCGATTTATTGTGTAAGAAATATAATTTTAAACTCTCAGTTATTTTCGCATATATTTACTTAATTCAATATTTTCATCTTTTTTTAATTTTG